AGCCCCCGGCCCTTGAGCTTGACACCGCTGCTTCAGAGTCCTTGAGGCCACTTGGAGGCTTGTCTGTGTCTTCAGGGTCCCGAGTAAGAGCAAATGGGTGTGGCGCCTACTTGGAACTGCTGACAGGACTGTGTTGTGGAGTTGTGCGTTTTGCAGGGTGTTTTTCTCTGCCCTAGGTCCCTTCCCTGTTGAAGACGGACGCAGGGTTGGTGGATGAGTTTGTGTTGTCTGCATCTCAAAATGAAACGCAAATGGTTCCCATGGTCTGCAATTTCTCTGGAAATCCGTTCATGCTCCCACACCGCAGAGGACATAGCTAAACATCTGGGGAGGCTCTCCGTCCTCCAGGTCATGGAGTAGTTTGTGAATTGTCCAATGCTGGGAGTCTTTTCCTGAGGACACAGACATTTGGGGAGTGTTACCCCTTTTATCTTCTCTCCTTATTTATTCAGATACCGCGGGAGGTTGGATTAGAAAAAGCGGAGCATGGCTTAAAATGACTCACTGAATTGAGCCTGGGAACCCCGCCATGAAGCAACACGGTCATAGAGCATAAAGCCACACAGCTGCGGCTGCAGCACGTTCCAATGGCAGTTTCAGCAGTCCTGTTGGCCTCTCTAAGCAGACACCCTGCAACCACAGCACCCTGATGGCATTCCCGCTGGGTAACTTTGTTGGGAGAAGCTGGGAGTGAAGGTTGCAATTTTACCTATATTTCTCTATTATCTGTCTGTCTGTCTCTGTCTTGTCTATCGATCCTCTATCCATCTCTATCATCTGCATCTATTTCTATCTATCTATATCTGTCTGTCTATTATCATCATCTATCATCTATCTTTGTATATCTACCTTGTATGCCACCCACCTCACCAGAGGCAATTCTAGGCATCTCACAGCCATTGAATTAAAATGTACTATAAAACATTGAGACAAAAAAAAAGGGTCATGCATTTAAAATTCAATTAAAATTAAACTAACCAGGATGGAGAGGGAGGGAGCAAAGTGCGCAAATGGCAATAATGGCTATTACAAGGAACGGTCAAAAGTCCCTTCCTTTGGCCGTGTTGTAATTTTGAAGTTGTTGAACACCTGGACACTGAATGAGGACTTACCGATAGAAGGCATGCTGTGCTGGTAACACTAATAGCTGAAACTGCAAAGGACCTGCAAGCTCCAACGATAAAAGTTAAGGAACCAAGAAAACCGAGACTAAAATTAAATGTAAAGAAGGCCAAACTAATAGCAACAGCTGGAACAAGCTGCCTTAGAACCGGCCATGAAGCTAGAGAAGTGGAGGAGACCTTCTGCCTTCTAGGATCACCCGCTTTCCGTAAAGGAAGAGGCAGCCAAAAGGCTACCAAAGCCTTGGAAAAAGAGATTTCAGCGCCGATATAGGTCTACCCCTACAAAGATCAGCAGCAGCAGTCTGGGCTGTCCAGGAAAAGCGGGTGAGTGACAGGTGCCCTGCCAGTCCTTTGAGCAGGTGGCCAAGCATCGGCGGCCCAGACAGAAATGCGAAACCTCTCTCTGTAAGGCCCCCAGTGCACCAAGCCTGGCCTTGGAGAAGCAGCTGCGGGTCAGTGCTGGGCTTACAGCTGACACTTCACGCCTGCCACATGTTGGGCTGCACCTTCCCAAGTGGAGAGTTCCGGCCCTCCCGAGGTCTCCCAGCCAGGAAGGTCTGAGGCCTCCTACAAAAGTTCATTGGGGAAAGCCCCAGCAGCCCTCGCCCTCCCTGCTTCTTCCGCTGCTGGATTTCAACTGGTTTCAAGGGCAACTTTTTTCTCCCTCACCTTGGTGCAGGGATGGGCAGCTACAGCTGGCTCAGAAATTCCAGGTACTGGAAATCCACAGGTCGTAAAGGGGCCAGAGTTGCCCACCCCTGCCTTGGTAGACTCTACCTCAACCCTGAGGACCAGTGGTGGGATTCAAAATGTTTTACTGCCAGTTCTGTGGGCGTGGCTTGGTGGGCGTGGCAGGGGAAGGTTACAGGCAAAATCCCCCTTCCCTCCCCACCCCACTAACCTGCTTTCCAGCTCCCTTCTCCTGTGCAGGGCAACCAAAGAAGACCCAGCCGATCAGCTGGGACTCGATGGGAGGCAGAGAAGAGATGGGGTTGGCAGGGCCAGAGGTGGGATTGGCCGGTTCTCCGAACGACTCAAAATTTCCGCTACCGGTGGTTCTCCAGGACTGGTCAGAACTGTCTGAATCCCACCTCTGAGGGCATCGTATGCTATGTGGGGCCAGGAACAATGGTCACCTTTGACAATTCTCTGAGATCACAAATACATCAAGAATTGCTGCAGATTGGGGGGCTCTCCGCCAACTGCCACCCTACTCCACAACATGCTTTTGAAATTCAGTGGCAAACTGTGGAACAAAACATGCTGCAATTTCCTGCCCATCTTAGTGGGAAACCAAAACCAAAGTGCCAAAAACGGCACAGAAGCAATAAGTCGAACAGGTTCAAAGGGCTTCCAGTTAAACGTACTCGAGGTGCCTTTAAAGGCCTACATGGCTGAGGACTTCAGTAACTACAGCAGTGTGTCTCCTCTACCTCAACAATGTTATGAGAGTAACAAGAGTTGGGAGGGACCTTGGGAGGTCTTCTAGCCTGAGCCCCTGCTCAAATAGGAGACCCTATACTATACCAAACAAGTGGTTGCCCAGTCTCTTCTTATAAACTTTTAAGGCACATGGGCTGGGGATTCTGGGAGTTGAGGTCCACACACCTCAACATTGCACCAGTCCAGAGGACCACCTGCTCCCGGTGACTTCCGGGTGCCCAGAAGATTGGGAAGGGCAGCCCAAGTCTCTGCCCTTAGGAGTGGCCACTTTCAGAGGCCCGAGTCGAGCCTTCCTTCTCTTTGGCACACCTTCACCCCCAAGCTCAGACCAGCTGCCCACCTTCTGGGGGTTCCAGAGAGAAGTTCAACTCTGCAAGTGAAGGCAGCCTGAGCAGCAGGGCCCCTTCTGGGAGGGTGGATGCTAGTAAGAGTTATTTTTAAGAAGCAAAGGCTGAATGTTGGTGTCCGCGTGTTCCTTGGATGCTGGAGCCTTATGGTTATTTCGTTCTATTGATTTGCTTTCCTGCTGAACCCCTGATCCCCCAAAAGGCACCCATCCTCCCCAACTTTCCCAAATGCCAGTTCTTCTTCCTCAGGTCAGTTTTCCTCTCCCTGTAATGACTCACCCCAACCGCACACACCCCTCCCTCCAGGCGGCTAAGGAGAGACCAGCTGCCCTCTGGCAAAACACACTGCATTGCCCTCGCCTGCTTCCTGGGTTCACCAGACCCTTCCCTTCTTCCCTTCTTCCCACGGGGCCTCTTGTTTATGCTGACTTGTGCTGTGGGGTGGGGAGGTTGAGGGGGGAGGAGGGAGCTGAGGGTTCACTCCTGTTCCGGCTTTGCACAACGCCCGTGTGTGTCCGCAATCACCGCAGCTGCAGAGTTTTGCAATCCACCCCCCACCCCCGAGGGTCTCTCTGCAGGGCCCCCCAGAGGCTCCCAGCAGCTCAGGGCTCCCTTCTTCAGGAACCCACCAGAACCACTATAGCACACCATCACCCAAGTTCCGGTGCCAGGCAGGGCCACGGGTGGCTGTGGCGGGAGGGCTTCTTCCCCCTGCGGGTCCCCATCCTGCCCCTCCCCCACTTCTTCTGGGTTTGGGGTTCTGCTTTCCATCTGCTCAGTCAACTTGCTCTTTTCCTTGCCCCCCCCCCGCCCCCCCCCAGCGACTTCCTATCTGCAGATCGATTGCGACACTGGAGCCTCCCTTGTCTTCAGTTGCAACAAGTCTCCCCCCCCCCCACACCTTTGGAATCAAACGACTGGAGAGAGAGAGAGAGAGACAGACGGAGGGAGGGAAGGCCGTCCTGCACCTACCCATAAGGGTGCATGATGCGCAGGATGGAGAAGCTTCCTCCCCCATGCGCAAGAGCGCAAGTTCTCCGGCCCAAACGCCCGGAATTCTGCTCAAGGGCCTCTCCCTAGGCCTTCCCTACCCAGGGCGGAGCTGCTGCTCCTCTACTTCCAACAAATGACTCTGGTTAGATTTTTATTGAGAATTACAAGACCTGAGATTTTCTCCAAGGTGTTTTGTTGGACAGCTGCTTGCCCGAATGGGGTTTCCTGCTTGGGCAGGGGGTTGGACTAGAAGACCTCCAGAGTCCCTTCCGCCCCTGATATGTTTGCTCATGTGATCAAAAGCGGGGAGTGGGGGGGGGGTGTCCATGGAGTCATAAAAAAAGTCAAGATGGTAACCGTGAGGGTGCAACTAAAATCCCCGCCCCTCAAGTCATTCTTCTGCAATACCTACCAAAATGAGTCCTGCCCTTGTCCCCTCTTTGCAGGGGGGCCCTGCCCAGGGAAGCCGACCCTGGGGAGGAATCAACGCAACCCGCTTTGAAAGCAGCAGCAGCAGCAGCAGATGCTCTTCCTAGGCCGAGGCCCACCTGAAGTCCCGCCTGAGCCTCAAGGGCACCTTCAAGGGCCCCCTCCCCTCCAAGGGACGCAGGCCCACTCTCATCTCTGCCCAGGGGCTTTGGGCCCCCTCCAACAGGGGCAGAGCTTAAGGGCCGAGAGGTGCTGCTTGGCAGGACGGGTTGGGCAACTGGGGCCTCAGACCTTCTCTGCGGATCGACGGAGGGTGGAGGGAAGGGGCTGGCATGCCCCCCCCCTCCCCACGTGGGCAGGTAAGAACAACCTCAAAGGGAGAACTGGGGAGAGGAGTCCTGCTGGGGGCTTTGGGGTAGCTGAAGGACCTTCCAGGCCAGAATTCGGCCTCCATCCTGAGTGTCGAGAGCGTTTGAACGGGGGGGGGGGGGGGGGGGGGGGCCCCCCCCCCCCCCGCCGCCCGTCAGAGCTGAGATCCTGCTAAGGAAGGGAGAGGCGCCAGCACCCACAGGATCAACAGAAAGAAAGATGGCCTTCATTTAGGGGGAAAGAGCAGAGCCACGGGCGGGCGGTTTGCCGCTGGAGGTCAGGAGCCTTGCACCGGGCAAGGGGGAGTTCGTGGGAGATGGCACAGAAGCCGTTCCTTCTGGGGGGGGGGGCGGCACTAGGGAGCCTCAGGCGCAGGGCTGGGCCTGGGGGGTCACTGGCCTCCTCCCTCCGCCTGTCTTCTCTGCAGGAGCCTCTGAGTTGCTGCTGCAGCCCTTTCCAGCCGGGGGAGGGGGCAGGGGGGCTGAGCGCTGGGACTTCTTGAGGAGGGAGAGGTGGGACCGGGGCTTCAGGGGAGCTGCCAAAGAGGGGGAGAGAGAGAGAGAGAGAGGGAGAGAGAGGGAGGGAGAGTCACTCAGAGTCGGCCCTTTCTTTGCCTAGACAAAACAACGCTTGTCACATACCAGGGGATGCATAATTCTGCTTAACACAGGCAAGACTCAGAGTTCATTTAGTGACTGTTTAACGTTAAAACGGAATTGAGAAAAAAGTGACTTATGACCGTTTCTCACACTTATGGCTGTTGCAGCATTCCCCTGGTCACATGATCCAGATGCTTCGCAACTGACTCGTATTTATGACGGCTCGGGTGTCCCAGGGACCTCCTGGCAGTCAAATCCAAGGGGGAAAACAGACTCACTTAACAACCATGCTGCTAACTTAACAACTGCAGTGATTCACTTCATTCCCTGCCGGGGGGGCGGGGGGCATGCAAGTGTCTGCTGATCTGAAGCCTGAGGTGGATTGGCTGCCCAAAGTCCCAGGCAGGGAGGTCGCTCCTAAAGCAACAGGGGGGCGACCAGGAGAAAAAGGGGGGGGCTTTCCTAGGTGCAAAAAGTGGCTTTGCCACATGGGATTTTCAGTCAAGTTACATTCTTGGTGGGAAAGATCTCCCAGGAGCCTCCTTTGCTGCCTCAACTGTGGGATGGTTGACAACCACTGTTAAGGTAGGTCATAAAATGGGACAACATTCACTGAAAACTGTCTCACTTAGCAACAAAAACGTTGGGCTCAATTGTGGTTATAAGTCAAGGACTAGCCATAATAGTGGGACTCTGAGCTTTCTGAGAAAATATTCTACCTTTGGCCCAACTTCCCAAAACAAGATATTGATCTTCAAATCATTTGTTCTGAATTTAAGGCAATCCACAGAGAATAGTTAATATCCAAACCTGCTACCCAGCGAGCTTCGGTTTGGGTTTGAGAAGGCAGGTTGAACTGCCCTCTTTTAAAATGTCAAATACTTTCCACATTCAGTTTCTTGCAACTGGAAAATGGAACACATAGTACAGTATGTCCCAAGCAACAGCTAGTGAGAATTACAGGGCCTGGATCCCTAAAGTAAGGCTGGATTAAGTGAGAAGGGACGATGGATGCCACAGAGCAGAAAGTGAGCTGGACGTGAGAACCCCATTTCTGAATACCCATAAATACAATAAACAAGTCCTTAGTGACTTTAAGACATGTGGACTTCAACTCCCAGAATTCCATGCTGGCTGAGGAATTCTGGGAGTTGAAGTCTACATGTCTTAAAGTCACCAAAGTGGAGAAGCCCTGCCATGGAAGAGAAGAAAAATAGAAAGAAAAATATTATGTAGGGAAAAAGAAAAGTAATATATAAAGAAATGACTTCTCCCTGTATCCCAAAAGTATAAACGATCAGCTAATTTTTCACCTGTTAAAATGTAATATATAATTTCTTCTTCTCATACCCCATTCTCTTATCTATCAGCAATTCCTTAAATATTTGGTGGTTTCAATCCTGATCAGCAAATGTCTATTAAGGTTTACCAAAGATAACATCAAATCTATATTAGCCATGATCAAATAAATCAACTTTATATAACTTCTGTTTACTTTTAACAATTTTGATCTTTAGCCCCTTCAAGTAAAAGGCAAAGGGGTCTCTGTGGATTTTACTCCGCTAGTCGTTGCTGACTATAAGGGGCGCTGCTCACCTCTGTTTCAAGGCCACCGAGCCAGCGCTGTCCAAAGAGATTTACATGGTCACGTGGCCAGCATAACGTCACAGAGCACTATTACCTTCCCACCGGTGTGGTACCTATTGACCTACTATTTGCCTGCTTTCGAACTTCTAGGTTGGCAGGAGCTGGGGCAAGGACGGGAGCTCACCCATCATGTGGTACTCAGGTCTTGAACTGATGCTGACCAGCCAAGCGTCTTAACCGCTGAACATCCCAGTCCCTTCAAGCAACGTCCTAAAACCTGATTCCTTTTCATTCTTTTTCTTTCTCCCGTCTCCACAATTCTCTTACAAACCTCTCCTGCACCAACCGATTCCCCTCTCCAGATTCCTGCCATCCTGCTCTGAAGGGAGCCCTCCCCTGCCCCTCTCCACCCCACAGATTCGAGGCACGGCCTGGCCAGCTCTGCCATAAGGAGGGGGAGGCCGTGCCCCGGCCTTCCCCACTGCTCTCTCCTCCTTTCCCTTTGCTCAGGAACAGGATGGGCTTTGATTTCTGCCAGCAAAGAGGAGGCGGGGGGGGGGGCAATGAGGGGGGCATGACAGTCGCTTGCAGCATGGCTGTTGCAGCGGGTCTCCCAGCTTGGCAAGCAACTGCTTGGACAGAGAAGCTGAAGGGAGACGATCCTGCAAAGGCCACCTGACTTGTGGCACAAAGGTAGGGCTGGTCTCCCCACCCCACCCCCACCCCGCAAGCCTTACCTCTCCATTCTCTGTCCCCAATGATGACTCGGCTGCACAGCTCACACAACTGGCAACTCTGCTTCTCCTTTGCTGGCACCGGCTCCAGCCTGAGGGGCTCCATCGGAGGCTTCTGGCCCTGGGGGGTGGGGTGGGGGGGAAGGGCAGGGCAGAGGAGCAAAGCAGGAGAGTGCTTGACAGAAGGGACCTTGGAGGCCCCCCCTTCCAACCTTTGGCTCATGCAGGGAACCCTGGGCCACTTCAGACCAAGGGCTGCCCTCTCCCTCTCCCTCCGTTCCTACTTCTGGGCCAGGCAGCAGCCCCTGTTGTACACCTCTGTGCATTTGTTGTTTCTTTTCTCTACACTGAACCTCATTTTGTTAGCTAGGGTCCTGTGCCAAGATCCTCCGGGGTCTTCCGGGGTGTTTGGCCCTTCCTGCCGATTTGGTGCCATCTGCAAGTCTGATGAGGAACCAGGGTTTGAACCCAGTGGGAGCCGCTCCCCACATTCAGGGCAAGGAAACCATGTTTCTGCTGACTCAGAAAATAGGAACGGCCATTGTTCCTGGGGGTGGGTGGGGGTGGGGTGGGGGGTGATTCTCACTACTCCTGCCCCGTCCTTTTGCAGGGATGGGGCAACCCCTTGTCCAGGGCGGCTACGGGAAAACCTCCACTGGATCTGCCTGGTCCCCAGAGCTGCTGGCTCCCCGCCTCTGAGGGCTCCTTGCCTGGATTGGGCCGCCTCCAGGGCCTGACACACACACGCACACACCCCCGTGAGCGCGAGGGGCTCCCTGCTCCAGGCCAACGGTCTCGGGGGACCAGCCTGCAGACCCAGAGGGCAGTGGCCAGCCAGGGCAGCGACCACCAGCAGACCCCAAGGGAGCCCCTCTCCCGGGGCGACCTGGCGGTTACCTTCAGGAAGCTCTCCACCACCTGAGCGGCTGGTTCCCACACACTTTCCTCCCACCGAGAGAGATCGGAGACGTCCAGGCCGAAGACGGGGGGCACGTTTGTTCCAGGACCTGGAGGAACCCGTAGAAAAAGAGCATCGTTGGCTCCATCCTCGTGACCGGAGGCTCCTCCGCCAGTCAAAGGAATAGGGAGGGCGGGAAGGAGTAACTTTGGGGGGGGGGGGGGAGCTAAGGATATCCTGAAAGCCTCCGCTGTGCCCGCGAGGCAGGACTTGCAGAAGCTGCCAATCCCTTTGGGGCGAGAGCTACCGCTGGGCTGCCCACTAACAGACTCAGCCTGCCCCAAAGGAGACGCCGGCTGAGGGGGCATGGCCTGCCCCCGCTCCCCATAGCCCGGCCTTCCCTCACTCTTCCTGCCAAAGGGCAAGTGGGCAGCGTTCCTCCGGCCCTCCTACGAGGACGGGAACCTCCTGACTGGGCCTCTCCTTCCATCTTAGCGATGCATCATCGGCTCTATTGCTCTGTGTGGCCAATGAGGCACAGGAGAAGCGCTCCTGGGGCTGGGCTGATCAAGGGAGAGTTCTTAGAAAGGGCCACGGTGAGCTCTGGCATCTCAGGGAGGCCACTTCCTGCCCAAAGCTAGGCCCCTGGTCCTCCCCATCTTGCCTGACCCAAGGCCAAGGGTGCCAGTCCAGAGGACGGGGGCAAGGGAGGGCCGACTCTCGCCAGACAGTGCCCGTGTCTGCCAGGGCAGGCCGAGCCGAACAGCAGCAGGACAAAAGGCCTCCCAGGGCCAAAATCCCAGCAGGTGATGATGCCTCTGACTGCCCTGACCACAAAGCCTGCACCCACACCTGTCGGCTCCTTGGCAGAGGAGCCAGCACGGCTGCTCACCGCCTGGCCAGGGGAGGCCCTGGCTGGGCCCAGCCTCTCCCTCCTCTCCACCCGCTGCTTAGGTTGCATGACCGTCCCCTGAACCCACCAGCGCCCCACCCCACCCGAGGCAAGACGGGGCAGTCCAGGGGGGAGGTAGAAAAACACTCTCTGGCCCCGCTCCCGCCCAGCCAGATCACGGAGGACAGCGGTCAGTGGGGGCCTGGCCCTCCCTCTGGCCCAGGAGGGAAAACCCAGAGAGCGGGAGCCCCCCTTCCGGGCACCCCTGGCTTCACCCCCCTCCAGGGGTGGCCTTAAGGGGCTGTGAAAGGGCTCCTCTCCGGAACAAAACCTCCTCTAGAGGAAGGCGCTCTGCACATGCTTCAAAGAGGCCTTTACAATGGTCGTCCATTTCCCCTCATGCTTGAATGGGCTGCAGAGCGAGGTTTGGCTCATGCCACAGGTGCCCAGAAGAGAAGGGGCACTGTCTCTCTCCCGGCCAGCTGAGCAAAGGAGCAGCAGGGAGGAAGGACTTACGCCTCAGAAACCGGTTCCGGACCCACTTGTTCTGCTTCCGGGCATACCTCTTGGTCACCGTCCGGAAGGCCTGGAGGGCTGAAAGAGCTCAGGTCAGGGGCGGCAGAGCCAGGAGAGGCTGGCCCGTCCCAGTCAGCCCAATTCAAAACGGTCTTACGGTGGTGTGAGGGAGGCATCGTAAGCCCTTTGCTTGTCTCCTCTGGACCAGCCGCATTTTAGTGAGCCGGGAAGTGGGTTCCACCTCCCAGAACATGGACCCACCTCTTATGCCAAAGGCCGCCTCATTCTCCAGCCTGCCAGTCAAGCAAACCACACAGCCTGCTCTCCAGAAGTGCCCCCCCCCCCCCCCCCCCCCCCAGCAGATCCTCACCTTGGTCCAGCAACTGGTGCCTGACCTCCTCTGGACTCTGGGCCTCAGAAACCAGGAACTGGTGGAATTCCTTGAAGCCGATGGACTGGAAAACGCCCTGCTGGTAATCCTGGCTGGGGAAGGGAGGAGAAGCCATTGGCCAACATTGCCGGCATCCTGGCTGTCGATCACGCAGGCGGAATCTGCCCTCCACATCCCCACCCGTGCCAGTGTCCACCTGCAAGCAGGCAGGGCCTTCACCTGTTCTCGGCCACTCTCTCCTGGTTGTATCGCCGGTGAAAGTTCTGCAGCTCCTCCAGCAGCCCGGCCTCCATCATCTCATCCACCCGCTGGTCCAGTCGCACCTCCAGAACTGAGGGAAACTCAGCAGGCAAAAAAGTCAGGCTACCCCCCCAAAAAAACTCTGGAAAGGGACGGGGTGCCGGCTCCAAGTCACTTCGGCAGCAGCCAAGCAGACCCACCTGGCCAGAGAATGAAGCTGCCCCTGTCCAAAAGGAGGACCCAGCCTGAAAGAGGGAGGCCACCCTTGGTCCTCAGACCCTCCCTCTTGTTTACCTGCCTGTTCCGCATGGAGCCAGAAGATGCAAGCATTGGGGTACTTCAGGGGTCCCCCCAGGGGTCCCCCCCCTTTTTCCTCATGCTGCCGCCGCAGCAGCTCACTGTGGGGGAGGCCAGTCTGTTCAAACAGCTGCAAGCTCCTGCAGGGGAGAGAGTGGGAGGGGGGCTGGCTGGGGGGCCACACCAGACCAGAGCCCGAGAGGAGGGGAAAGTGGGCTTGGCCGAGGCTGGAAGGGAGGACTGCACTGTGCGATGCCTGGCAGTGGGAATCCCTTCAGACCTTCTGGGGCAAGCAGGGAAGCTGGAGCCACGGCCGTCTTTCCACTGAGCCCTGCAGGAGCTCCAGAGAGGTGGCCAGCGATCCCTGCAATGGGGGCAATGAGCCGATCAGGAGGGCACCAGTCCACCTCAGAAAGGGGGCCCAGGCCGGAGGCTCTGCAGAAGGCTGTCGGGCCACAAAGGCAACGTGCCTTTAGCTGGGACTGGTCAGGCACTGGGCTCGCCCGCCTCTCCAAGCCATGCAGCATTCCCTCCTAGCCTCGGGAGGCCTCAAAAGCGAGACCCCGAGTCCCTTCGGGGCAGAAGCCGCCATGAAGTAATTGGGGTGGCAACGACTCCAGCCCAGGGAAATGCCTGCTCGGCTAGAGAGGCTCTCGTGGCTCTGCCTCAGGCTGTCCTTGCAGAGATGCCCCACCCTCCAACCCAGGGCCTCCAGAATCTCAGCGGAAATGGAGGCGCCTTATAAGGGAGATGAGTGGCATAAAAATTAAATCAGTTAAAACAGCTCTGCCACAATGCATCTGCAGGATGCCCACAGGAGATGTGAGGAGAGGCCAGAGCAGATCCTTCCTCAGGCTGCTCTGTGCCAGTTCTGGCCACCCTCACCCCATCTCAGTTCACGGCAGAGCAAATGCAAGCCAGGTCCCAGGAGTTCTGGGGAAGTCCTGGCCTCAGCCCCACACTAAGTGAGCAGGGTGGGGGCTCCTCCCCCACCTCCTGGGCAGGGCAGGGTTGGGAAACTGGAGCAGAAGGGCAAGCCAGGGCCAGCTTCTCACCCAGCTGGAAAGCTGCTTGTCTGGTAGGGCAACTCCAGTTTGCACAAGTGGTGCAAATCCCGGAGCAGCCTGGCCCAAGACGGGCCTTTCAGGCAGCCGCGCACGACGGAGCTGCTGCCCTCAGGGCAAGGGGGGCAGCTTTGCTCCAAACGGGAGACCTCCCGACAGTGGGAGCAATCAGTTAGTGCCACAGCGGGACGTTAGAAGCTGTGGAGACTTTTAAGAAGAGGCTAGAGCGCCACTGGTCTGGAACAGTGTAGGGTCTCCTGCTCGAGCAGCAGGTTGGATTCAAAGACCCCCAAGGTCCGTTCTTCTGAGACCAGCTCTGACCTCACTGCTGCCAGGCAGCTGCCTCAGGAACAGGGCAGCAGGTCCAGAAAACAAGATGGCGGCTGCGACCACCTAATCAGGAGTTCTGGGAGTTGAAGTCCACAGGTTGTAAAGGAGCCGGAGTTGCCCATCCCTGACCTCACTGGAGTCCTGTCCTGTTAGTACACTGTCATCACGGTTGCCACCTGGACTTTCTTTTGGGGGATCCCTTGCCATCACAGCTGTGGAGGATTACTGGCCCTGGGTGTCAAAGGGCCTTGGAAGCTCCTGGCAGAGTTCCAGATTACATGGGCAGGGGGGTCTGCAGGGCGTGGTCAAGGGGAAAACAAAAGTCCACCCATTTTTTTATGGGGCTGCCCTCGTGACTTTGTGGACCTTGTCCTGCAGACCCTCCCTGTGTGGCACTTTGTTTCTTGCAGGGCTCATGCTGGCTGAGGAGTTCTGGGAGCTGAAGTCCACCAATCTTAGAGCTGCCAAGTTTCGAGAGCCCAGGTTTATGGTAAGGAGGGAAGGGCCTTGTTTCAGCAGCCAGCCATCTCAGGGTGTTTGCCAGTCACATTCCCCCAGGGAGGCGCACGGTTGGCCTCCTGCTCTCCTTTTCATTGTGAACAGAAGCTAAAGGGCTGTGCTTGCCTGCAAGAGATGAAAGCCACAACTTCCCATTTTTCAGAGAAATTCCTCGGCTTTTGCTCGCCATCCATCACCAAGTATCAGAGGGCAACTGAGGAGGACTTGCAAGGCCGAAAAATAAATGGCTGGCAGGGCCACACAGCCAACAGGTACCAGTCATGCGATTCAAGTCATTTAACAGCCGGTTCTCCCTCATGACCGGCTGGGTAGGCGTGGCTGGGGTGTGTGTCATGTGACTGAGTGGACAAGGTGGGCGGTGGTTGGGGCCTTAGTGCGGGAGTGAAGCGCCCCTGCACTTGCCTTTGTGCAGCACCAGCATTCCGCCTTTGTCACGGTACATTTGTGCTCAAGGCAGCCCTCGCCTAGCGCTGCTTCAGCCTCCGAGCTGTAAGCTGCGTCTGTGGCGGAGAGAAGCGCCCGGGGGCTCTGATTCTCCGGCGCCTCTCTTGCTGGGCCTTGCTGCCCAACAGTCAGGTTTCTTTTTAAGATTTCTGCAGCAGGAAACAGCGGGTGGCTACTTCCGGCCTTGGTTGGTGCAGCTGGGCATGCCTCGGCCCCTTGGAGAGATGCACGATTGCTGTCCGTCCCGAGACACTGGCCTGCTGCGTGTGCCGCAACCACCTCATGGTCTGCACGCTGACCCCACCTGGCCGCGGCTCACGTTGCTCCTCTTGCCAGGGGCAAGTGAGGCAGGGCTGCCTTGTGGCCTCGTGCTGTAATGGGCTTCAGGAGGGGCGCTGCCTCCCCCACTGTGAAGCGCACTAAAATTAATTGTGCTGCGCAAGGCGGCCACTTCAGCCATGAGGCGGCAACCGTGGCAGCAGCCAGTGGGCAGGCCATGAGGCAACCGCAGCAGGCCAGTGTCTCGGGGCAGAGAGCAGGTTGCACATCTCCCCAAGCACAGGGGCGCTTCACTCCCGCACTAAGGCCCCGCCCACTGCCGCTTTGGCCGCCTACATCGCCCCACCTTGCTGTGAGTGATGTCAAGCTGGCCATGCCCACTCAGTCACATGACACCGCCCCAAGCCATGCCTACCCAGCCGGTCATTAATGGTTGTTAAATTACTTGAATCACATCACTGGGTATAAGCCTCTAATTTTCAGGGGCCTGTAATACTTGGAGAGTCTCCGCTGTCCCACTTGCAGCCCCCCGAAGGCTGAGTGAGAGCCCGTCCCTCTCTGCTCCCAGCTGTTCGACTGACCTGATTATTTTGCGCTTATTATGGGGGTGTAATCTGGTTGCCATGTTAGGGTCCACCAGGCTCAGCCGATGGTGTAGCTCCTCACTCTCCAGATTCTCCAGCCCAGCTTTCCACTCTTCTGTCACCACTGCTGGACCCCTGGACTCCCCCTGAAAAGACAAGAGACAATCACACACACGAGACAGATTCTCCAAAGTAGGACACAACTGCCGAAAGGAGACAACCTGCAGCTCAGCTCACAAATCCTCTCTTTCTGATCTTAGCAAGGGTCCAAGGAGGACATGGAACTGAAAATGGAACCCTTGCATCCACCCACCACCACCCTTGCACTGCCCATCTCTCAGGGGGACATCCTGCTTGCAGGCGGAGAGGAGGAAAAGCTGAAGAAATCATTGCCACCAACAAGTAACACATTCAGCAGCATAAGGAAAACCTTAAGACCATTAGGCAGGGTGGGGAGAAATATTACGTCATAAATATGTGACATTTTTGTAATCAACGATTTTTGCAGGCATTCAGAAAGGGCAGGATTCTGTAACTATTGGGAAGGAAGGAAGGAAGGAAGGAAGGAAGGAAGGAAGGAAGGAAGGAAGGA